TTTACAATTTTCAATACTTATTTTAGTTACTTCATCTAAATTCTAAAAACTTAATAATATTATTAGACAAGTTAAAACTTTTTTAATTAACTTATTACTAATATTAGTACATTTTAATCTTATTATTTAATATTTCAACTCAACTTATCAATTTAATATACTTCTTATATCTAACTCTTATAAGTTTATACCAAGCTAAATTATTAATACTAATATTAAATAGCAAGCTCTTCATTATAACTAAAATATTGAAAACATTAAACAAATTTAAGAACAAATAAAGTTGTATATCAATCTTAAATGTTCTAAACTCCAAACTAACTCAAAATTAATTATTAACAGTATACTTAACTGTCACAAGGATCTAGTAAAAATTAGCAAATCAAATATTAAATAATATTATTATAGATATTAAATTAATTAAAAAATATATCTAATATTATTTTGATAACTGAACTGCTTACAGACTTACTAATACTTATGGATTTAATACAAGTCTAAAGAATGTAAATCAAAAATTACAATCAGAACAGATCACTATAATTCAGCTTTAACTAAATTTTTATCAAATGAAATCTTTAGAATTCTTAGTTAACTTTCTAAAACAAAGTATGTGAACTATCTGAAAATAGTTGCAAAATACTTAAATTGGCTAGTTCCTTCTTTCTTTAAGCAATAGTTACTCTTTTAACTAATATATTTAAATTTCTTACATATCTAAACAATAAAAAGAATTTATATTTTTTCAATAATCAAAAAAGCTATCTTTGATAGAAACTTATTTAATATAAGACCTATTAATCTAGTTAAATATATTATAAAATTATATACTAAATTTCTTACTAACTGTCTTAATTTAATACTTATACAAAATTATACTCTATATTTTTATAACTATATTATTCTACTTGACAACAGCATCTCCATTTCTATATATATACTATTGAAGCTGCTAGTTGTAACAATAAATAATTATAACTTCTATCTTAAAATATAAGCAAAACATATAATTTTTTAATTTAGAGCTTTTTATAAATTTTCTCAAATAAATATTAATAATTTAACTTCTTATTAATTATTAAAATTAGGTTATATTTAACCTTGATTTTACTAATTTTTATTCAAAAAAATAGTATAAATTAAGAAGAAACTATAACTTCTTTATTATAGAGAATTTTATTATAATCTTTTAATTTATAAAATTTTTTACAATTTTTAGAATACTCTTTGTTTGCATCTTGGAAAACCAATCTATATTTATCTTAAACCTATAATAAAAAAATATTTATATCAGTTTTAATCTATATAAATAATCTTTTTAATTGTATAGTCTAAAAAAGAACTCGATATAATAACTAAAACTGCTATATTCTTTTACCAAATAACTAATATTCAAATCAACTTAATCAAGTCTATTCTAGTTACAAATTTCTCTACCACTTCAATGTGGTTCTTTGAATTTCAATTTACTTCATTTTAAAAACTAATCTTTTAAGTTTTTTGAATATTGGTTTATATTCAACAATAAACAATCTTAAGTCATTAAATTAATAAAAAATAAAGTTTTAATTTTATCAATATCACTAGTACAAAAAAAAATTATTAACAAACAAATTACTTATATTATCAATACAATTATTATTTTAACTTTGAAATATAGAATATATAATATCATTTTTCTTTTATTACTTGTAACTAAATTTTATCTAAATACTTTATTATAACAAAACACAAGTCTCATTTTTTCAAAACTATACCAAATAATATAATGTTTAACCTATATCTATATATTATTTATAATATTTAAAATATTGTTGGGTTTGAAAAGTTGCAACTCTGTTATTTCACAATTTAATATCTCATATAATGTATGATAAGTAACCTTTTTGAAAGAGAGTGTTAGATTTGACTAGTGAGCAATGTTTATAGGAATTTACAGAGTTTAGATAGAGATAGTGTTAGTATTTTATTATAAGTGTTATAATGTATTGGGACTTATATTTTAATAAAGCCAACAAAGTGTACTGCTCCTAAGAGCCATTTTGGCCTTTATTTATAATATAAAATTTGTTATTTACAAATGTAACTTATTTATTAAAACTAATTAAATTATTTACAAGTACTTATTTAATATTTATTATTTCTTTTCTTTATTCTTTATCTACTCCTTTAAATCCAAAATACTGTTTTTGATTTTAAATATAACTTATTACACTAATTACATTTATTACACTTATTGCACTTATTGTATTTTATGCATTTTTAACATGATCGGTCATAATATTCAATATCACAATATTTAACTTTAGTATCATATTTTCAATTATTTTTAATGAATTAACTATTCTAATCATTTTGGTATTATAATTCAAATAAGATTTTAATAGTTACAAAATAACTTATGATTTCCTATTAACATTTTACATTATTCTAAACTAACTATTAATGATTCTAATAAACATTCATTAAACTTCAAAATTATTCATCATCTTATTCATCTTAGTATAATGATTTTAGCTAACTCTAATCTAAAATAGTCTTATAATTAGTAATAGAAATCAACCACTAAAATCAATTTTATTATAAAATTCTAAATATTTAATCTTTAAAAAACAACTTAGATAAACAAATATTATTTACCTTAAACAACTCTGTATATCTAATAACAGCACTCTATTAGACTGAAAACATCTTTCACTCAGATTATCATACTTGTCTAAAGATAAAAAACCCTTTTGGTTTTTTTACTTAGAGAATAGAATTCTAACACATTTCTATTAACAAAATATACTATTGCATTATTAATCACCTGATCATAACCTTTATGCTTATTATACTATTAACACATTTAAAAAACTTACAAAATCTAAACTCTGATTACTCTTATATTACAATGATGAAATTATTATAAGAAAAATATAAAAACCTTTTTCTTTTATAACTACTATTTCATTACCCATTGAACTTCTAATATAAATTTAAATTACTCCAAATTCTAACCTTTACCTTTTGTTGAATATAAATAATCTTATGTTGTAACATTATAAAATACTATTTACATAATCATAATGCATTAATTATTGAAAGAAACTAGAACTGGCTTTTAGGACAAAATTATGAACTAAAAATATATTTGAGATTCGATTATTGATTCTAGAATCAATTTTAGAGATTTGATCATCAATTACAGTTATTCACACCCCTAATTTGGCCAGGGTTTGGGATTTATGCGCAGACAACCCCAAATTATAGTAGTTTAGGATTTAGTCAGAAAGTATACGTGTATATCCGTTGATCTATACACGTGATGAATTCATGTATGAAAAATAACCAAAACTCGATGAATAAATCATGCGGACCAAAAACTTAAGATTTCATGGACAAATAGGTACCGTCGATGTTACACGACTGATCTTTCACCTGGTGTGCAACATATAAAAAAATTATTTTACAATACCAGATCATTCCGCTAGTACATGTCATGATTATAATCCAACACAACTTTATTATAATAAAAATAGTGTTGGATTATAATCATAACATGTACTAGCAGAATGATCTGGTATTGTAAAATAATTTTTTTATATGTTGCACACCGGATGAAAGATAAGTCATGTAACATCGACGGTTCATCCTGTTACAAATCCCACTTCAAACATCATACATAGTGCTCCGATCGGGTTGACCCGAATAACCCGAAACCAACCCGGTTATAATAAATTTATTAGATGGGTCATGACCCATATAGTAAATTCATTATAACCGGGTTGGTTTCGGGTCATTTGGGTCAACCCGATCGGAGCACTAATCATACAAGTCATACACTTCGTGATTTCATCACTCCGTTCCTGGTATACACTCCTTACATTCGTTCCTGGTAGTGATGGGCAAATCGCAGTTTTTTAAAAAACCCGCACGGGATTCGCGGAATATAGTAAAGTTTTTTAATTTTTCATAAATTTTAAAAATATATATAAAGATAATCACTAGAAATATAATTTCTTGTTAAAATAATATATTTTTAAATACATTTAGCACGCCCTTGTTTATAATCTGAGTCTGGTCCAAGTTTTTCAAAATGATGCCAAATCGAGTTATTAACACCCATGTTATAATAATGTTGTTTAAAGAATGCATTAATAATGGTTATATTTATTATAACAAGGAATAGTAAGTAAGAACTACCAACGGCAAAAAATATTTTTAATCAAGTACGCATATATATAAAGAATGATAAACAAATACCCAAAAAAGTTGCGAAAAACACATGATATCATCAATTCATGATATCACATAATTGATTTAGTAAGTGATTTTTTTTCTTCGATTCTTTAAAGTGAAAGGCGATTGTTAAAAGCATAAAATCCAATAAACACACTAGTTCAAAAATATATGTTGATTGCCGTAACCAAATTTCTATTGACAAAAAAAGAATGAAAATCGAAATAAATTATAAAAATTAATCAAGATTTAATTTTTAATGCGCTTTTGAAAGATTATAACTCTGATTATTGTTTGAATCGGACACAACAACAAAAAATTATTGAAGAAAACAAATAATAATAAATGGTTCAGTCTTATTAATAAAAACTTTATGCTATTGCATAAGTTGGATGATTATAATCATTTTAAAAGGCAATGGAATATTCTAAATATTATACTTATAAAAACCGTAATTATAATACTTTCTGGCTATAATAAATAATACGTTTATTGAGTTATTCGAAATAAATAAAATGATTAATTTATTACTTATTGTTTAAATTTTTTTGTTTATATTCTCTTGTTAAGTTACATGAATTTTTAGTACTGTTATATTTGTTACGTGACGTTCGGAACTTTTTTGGGTGGAGATTTTACCCCGTCTTAGAAATTGGGGCATTAATGTTAATGCAGGCCGGATGATATTTAATGCAGGCCAGATTATATGCTAATGCAGGCCAAATAATCTCATTAAAAATCCCGCGCGGGATCCAAAAAAAAACCCCGCGCGTGGCCTATCACTAGTTCCTGGTATTACAAAAAATAACAAGAACCAAATTTATGATTATAAGAGTTTGCACGATAATGAATTTAACTTAAAAAAATTACTATTTTTATTTATTATAGCGCTGAAAATTTTAAAACCTTATAAATTTAAAATTTTATCTGGCAAGTACTATGTAAACACTAACGGAAAAATTTTCACATTGTTTCCGCAAATTCTTATTAAAACCATGTGACAAATTCTTATTGATTTTAATATAAAAATCTGTGGAAGTAATATAAAATTCTTTCCGTAATTGTATACGCCATACCTGCTAGATAAACTAGTTATCTGGCATGATATACGGATCATAGACATCGACAGTATAATTGCAATGCACGAGGCCTTCAGCCACATGCTTTTGCTATTATCTTGCCGATACCTATGTATCCGTCAAACCTTGCCAAATAACAAGAAAGTATCTCCTCAAAATACAAAATAAATACATGGTTTGATAGACTTTATCAAATACTATCAAATTACGTATTTTTTTTTGTAACTTTATATATGAGTGCGTGAGAGTGAAAACCTGGAAACCGATCATAGTAAATCATTAAATCGGTTTCCAGATTTTCACTCTCACGCACTCATATGCATATTTTTATTGAAAAAATACAATTTAAAAAAAAAAATTATTATTAATTTTAATATCTATAAACCCTCTGCACCGTATGTCTTACATCGTCATTATTTCTGATTTAATTTCAAAATATTTTGTCATTAACACATTATTAACAAAAATTAAGAAACAAAGGCTAATCTTGAATAACAGAAATAGTTTTCTTGTCGAAAATGCTCCAAAGTAAGTTGCATTAGTTTTTCAAGAAATAAAGTTAATATGATTTAAATAAATACAATTTGTAACTTTGTTTTTTGACATGACCTGATTTTAATAAAATGTGAATTATAGAGGAAATTGGTTACAACAAGATAAATTACATGAAAACTTAATTATTTCAAATTTTGAATATTTGTAAATCAAATAAATTGAATAATGTCTAATATGTAATAAATTTGTTGAATATGGTTATAAAAAAGTTATTTTACATGTTCTTTAGTTGAAGTTGAGACACTCTTCGTTTGATTTTTAGATCCCTTATAATTCAAGAAATAAATAATTATTAATCCAATAACCACTGCTCCATGCATGACATATCCGATAATTTGAATAATTGTTATTAAAATGGAATCTGTTTTATAAATTTAAAAAATATATTAATATATATTATTAAAACAAAAACGTTATATATATATATGTATATACCTGAAGATGGAATATATAATTTAACCCACTTGTAAGAATTTATATCAAATAGATAGGTCTTTGAATTTGAACTTAAGGGCCCGGAAAAACCGTTTGTTATGTTACCTAATAAAATGATTAATTCATGGTTTAAAATAATAATATAATGATGAATTATTAATGAATTATCAAATATTACCATTTGATATAATCATATAGTTTTGAATAATGGCTGCTGTATGATAAGTGAGTGGGGGTGGCGCATTCTCTGATGAGATTGATGGCACTAACCATTGAAATCGAGAAGTTGCAACATTAAGTATTATAAGATCTGGTGTGGATCCTATATTGTCAACATTACTACCACCATAAATTATAATATTTCCATTAGGTGCTATAATTATAAATTAGATGATGTTGTAAGCCATTTAATTATTTTTTTTTCGAATGAAAATTTTAATATAGTACCTAAAACAGCTGTATGGCCACCGCGTGCACTAACACTATCACCTTCGGCGAACTGAATAAAAGTAATTTGAGATAACATTTCAATATTGTTAATGAACAATAAACATTGTGCATGTTGTATCTGCGTACCTAACTGAATATGAAATAGCACTTATTTAGATCTTCATTAGATCTTCATGCATTAATCTTCATGCATTAGTTTTGGTTAGGTGCTACTTCAGATAGGTACGTGCGCACGCACGCACACATGAATGAACTACACCAGATACAATATATATAAATAATATGGATTAATATTGATGTGAACCTACTTGATACATCCACATTCCCGAATTAGTATCATATAACCAAATCTATTATAGAAATGCTTGAACTTAATTTAAAAAGATACATTCACGATTAACTAATATTATGAGTAATTTACCTGATTAATGTCAACATCTTGGAGAGCATGATCGTCAGTCATTTCAGTTCCACCAATAATAACAATATAGCCATTCGTAATAAGCGTTGCAGTATGGGAAGCTCTTCTTGTTGGCGCAGTTGCATTTGAAGGTGATTTAATGTTGATCCAAGATAAAGCAACAGAATCCAATATAATAAAATCGTTAAAAAATAAGGTATCATTATAATTGTTGATTTTAACTGTTGATCCACCAAAAATATATATCCATCCATTATTAGGATTAAAAGTAGAAGAAGCTTCTCTACGTCTTAATGGTTGGATTCCTGAAATTGTTGGAGCTGTCCAAGTGTGATTAATAGTGTCAAAGCAATAAATTAAATTATTGCTTAAACTATTGTCATTTTTATTATTCATTATACCACCAAATAAAAATATTTCAGACATGGTTAATCCTCCGACACATGCAGAACCCCATGCGGTATAAACAGGGATCGGATCGAGGGAATTATATGATGGGGACGAAGCATCAAAAGGAATTGAAAAATCGTAATAAAAAAAATTAGAATCAAGCTGAGAGTCTATTATACCTCCCATTGTATAAAGCTTAGAACCTATTAGAACATTCGTAGACGCTAGATGACCTTCTATAACCCAACAATGAATGGCAAGAACCAAAATTAATAACAACATAGTTTTTTTATTAGATGAAAATAACATTTCATTTTAGACGTAAATTGGATTAGTTACGAGAAGAAGTTTATGCGCACAACATTTCAATGAGAATTAGTATCTGAAAGTTACATTATTTACTGTAAACCTTGAAAAATAACAACGAAAATTTATTTTTTGCGACCAGTTTGACAAGATAAATTAATTTGAACACTAATTATAAATATTTTGTCTCATGGGTTACGAAGTAGAATTACTAGTTTGGTAAAATAATATAATAAGTTACTAAAAAAGGAATTCATTTGTCAAACAAATATCGGATTTCATATATGTATTACTAAATAAGAATACGTAACAATTATTATTTTATTTATTAGTGAAGATTAAAAGGATTCTCAGTCGTAAACCGTAAACAGATATAAGATAATTTTTTTCTCAAGGAACAGAAAACCTGGAGAACTTTTTTAAAAGATGCTTAAAATAATATGTAAAGTAATTTGGACATTTCTGAAAAATGTTATTATATTTGGATGTAAATTCGTTCTCCCAACATCACTTCCATTCTTTTTTCCTTTTCTATTTTTATATCCCATCATTTGTGAGTTATCATATGTGATTTACCCTTTTTTCAGTTACTTTTATGTAATTGTTTTCATTCCTTATGGAAAAACAATTCTGAAATTACGAGATATATTCTCGTTTCATAAACGATTGATAACATTATATCCAATATTTTTTGGATTTTTTATTTTATTAACTTTGGCTGTATTTACTGGTTTATATTATGGTTTAAAGTTTTTAGATTTATACATTTCACCCTCAATGTATTTGTTAACAAGAAGTAATTCAATCTTTGTCACATTCTGGCTTATAAGAATTATGTGGTTACTCTTTCTTTATAATGTTCCTAATGGAAATATTTTCTTATCTGGTTCAAATCGACTATTCTATCAAACTATTATTCTATTTTTTATGATAGAATTATTTAGCATTTACTATCAATTGGCGGGCTACTTTATTTATTATTATATTATGACAAGAAATATGGTTCATATAATAATAGTAGCTTCAATATCCATTTTTATTGTTTTATTTTATATTTCAGCCGTTTTATTCAAAGATTTTAAGTTTTTCAAGATGATTCATACAGGAATTTGTTCAGATATGATATTCTTGTGTCCAATATGTGTGAAAGAAAGACCCTATCCAACATGGTGTGAAGGATGTGGTGTTAAATATTTTGAGAGACATTATGAAAATTGGACTAGTGGTGATCAAATAATAGATAAAGTTATAAGATACACTCAGGAGAATACGAAAATTCCTGTTGATTTTGTGGAGTGGATACCGTATGAACAAATTGAAATAAGAGGGAAAGTTGGTCAAGATGGATTTGGAAGTGTTTATAATGCTTTTTGGAAAAGAGGACCAATGTTTATGAATAAGAATATGTTTAAAAGTACGAAAGGAATCCAGATTGCACTAAGAAGACTAAAGAATAACACGTTTCATGAGAGTTTGATGGGGGTAATTATTAATAATATTATTTTATTTTGATTTCAACTAAAGAATTATTACTTGTATATGTATATATATAATTAATAAGTAATACTTTACATTTATAGCTTTATAAGAGCTTAAAATGCTTTAATGCAACAAATTTTTATACAGAAAATGCTGTATACAAACCTGAAATTTCGCCGATAATTCGATTTTATGGTCTTACAAAAGATGCCAAGGGATATATGTTCGTAATGCAAGTTGCAGAGCGTGGCGATTTACAAAAATATCTATTTGATAATTTTGATAAAATGAAATGGTACGATGATAAATTGCTTATTTTAGCTAATATTGCAAACGGACTTAGAATTATTCATGAAAATGGGCTAACACACCGTAATCTTCATTGTCGAATTTTAATTGGTAAAAATGGAGAAGCTTATATTACAGATTTTGGGCCAGTAAATAACAATAAAAATTCTATCGCACAAAAATTAAATTGTTCGGCACCATTTATTGCACCAGAAACGCTCAAAGAAAACATTTTTACTCCTAAATCAGATGTTTATAGCTTCGGATTTATTATGTGGATGCTTTCTGCTGGTGTTATACCGTACCATTATCGTAAATATGATGAAGATTTGAAAAATAGTATATTAATTCATGGAATGCGACCTCCAATATTAAAGAGAACACCACCTTGTTTTGCAGAATTGATGGAACGATGCTGGGATGATGATCCTGAAAAAAGACCAACGTCATCAGAAATCTATGATATCGTGTGTTCATGGTATTACTTTAAAAACAATAATGAATTTAAAGCTTTTGAGGATACCGTATTATCACAAAATATACAAGAGATTATACAAGAAATTGAACTTTATATTAAAAGAAATACCCCAAAGCCCCTTCCTCCACCAAAGAATGTTAACAATTCAAGTGGTCAAAATAGTTCACATATTGCTATAGGACCAATGCCAATCTAATGTTTGTCAATTATTTGCCAATTTATAGGCATTTAATAAAACATTTGGTATGGTTGTATGGTAATCCGTATTAATTCAATTGTTATGATTTAGATTCAAATGCTTGTCCTAGCAAACAAGTATTTATCCTATTACTTAACAAATTTTCTGCTCCATATACAATATGGTACACTATAGAATAGATTATTTATTTGACTGCACCAATACTTTATTAATTAATTTATTTTAATTTATTTTTAAACTATTAATAAAGTTTCAATATATGTTTCTTTTATTTATGAAAACCATTTAAGTTCGTTAAATGCACTGTAATTTATTCATTTCAATTTGTTATTAGCTAAAGAAAGTATTATTAAAACTATATGAATTGTTTACTTAAATTACTTTTTAATAATGTTTTAAGTCACATATTTTAATAGTCATTAAGTCAATCGATTAAAACTTTACAGAATCTTTTGGAATTTTTGTTAAAAATTTTTATTCTACCTTGATCAGGTAGATTAATCATGGCAGAAAAGTTTGTTTATAAATTAATTGTCGGTAAACTAAGTTGTCGGTGATGTGATATTCGGTGAAATTAACGGAAAGATTGAAATTTTAGAAACCTGTCGATTTTTTACGTACTGTACGTACACCGGATCATCTGCGCGATATGTATTGTTAAACTTCGGCAGCGAAGCCGCCACATGATCAAGTTCTAGTTTAAATAATAAAAATCTATGCTTAACTTTTTTTTTTATAATAATAATAATAATAAATCCAATATTACATACTAGACATATATTTCACGTTATCCGGCACCTTACTACGATTGTACTAACAGAATAACTCGAGTTATTTTAATTATGATTGCATCATTATCAAATAAATCTGTTATTTGATGATGACGCAATCAACACCAAAAGAACTCGAATCATTCTGTTGGTACGATCATAGTAAGGTGCTGGATAATACCGTTATTGAATGCTACTCAGTCAATAACTCGTTTATCTGGCAGTGAATTTAATATGCGTCATTTCAGGGCCCTTCGGGGCCAGAAGCTGACATATTAAAAGATAATAAATTATTTTTCAAATAATTTCCGTTATCCGGCAAACTCTTATAATCATATATATATTTCTGCACGTTATTTTTTTCATGTGATACGATGCGATAATGCTTATTCAAATTAAAACGCAGCCGACAACTCCCTACTGTTAGACCCGAAACACGTGATCCACGAGTGACGATTTTGTCGTGGGATCTTCGCCGTATAAACTACCCCCAATATCGCCACCAAAAAAACCACGCTCACGTGATATTTGCTTATTGCAAACCAATGATATTACAAGATCAAGTGTAACGTTGCACGATCTGGAAAATCAAAACAACCGTTCGTTTTAATAAAAATCGCCCATAACTCGAAAATTTACATAGGAAACCGCCTTTAGTGCACTAACAAAAAAATTTCCTTGAGCAATTTTACTATTATATTCTTACTATTATCTAATAAAAATATAACACTAACCCTAATATTAACGAATTAGGATTTTTATCGTTGTCACGTGAGCGTGATTTTTTTGGTGGCGATACTGGGGAAGATGCTGAATAACCCTAAGTCACGCTCTCTCGGGTATGTCGACCTTTTACCTAAGATGGGTTTCCTGGTATTATACGTCGTATAAGTTGTAAACATCGTATCGGGTCTTTAAGGGATATCAGGGTGCGGGTCAAAATCCCGACAAACAGAATCCCGACAGGTCATAATCCCGACAAAAAAATCCCGACAGTCAAAAATCCCGACAATTAAAAATCCCGACAGCCAGAATTTTTAGATAAAAAATCCCAAGTATGAGATATGTTTAAAGCGAAATAGGCTCTTATAATTTAATTAATTTTAGGGTTAGATCACTTTATATAATGGTTGGGATAGGGTTTGCTATGGTCTATTATATTTTTTATCAGTTTTTAATTGTCGGAATTTTAACTGTCGGGATTTTTAACTGTCGGAATTTTTAGCTGTCGGGATTTTTTTGTTGGGATTATGACCTGTTGGGATTCTGTTTGTCGGGATTTTGACCCAAACCCAGATATCAGTGTTATAAGGGAAATCGGTAAGATAAAAGGTATAATTAGTATAGACATTATAATAGGTATAATAAGCATAAGTAATATATCACTGATAAGATGTATAATGCGTACTATGAAAAAAGAAAGTATATAATAAAGGCTTCGAGCCCTACGAAGAAAAGATGAGTAGTTCACGCTTGTAATGAAGTTTGACCGTAAAAATTCCCTACCTTTGCTACATTGTAAAACCTACGATCATAAATACACCACTCTCCAAATCTAACTGCCTCTTATCGACTAAGTTGTTCGTAGGTTAAACGACATATCTGTTTGAGAAGTGACTGACTTGCTGTTTCACCCATGTCACTACCAATCATGATCATAAATTGCCAGATAACACAGTAATTTGGCAAATGATTGGCTCACGTGCTGCTTTGCGGCACATGTTCATTTGCCAAATTGCCGTTATTCCCAAATTTTTGCCCAATAATGTATACTTATTGGCTACTTCGCATCTATTATTATATGCTCACCTAAATATTAAATACATTCAAATAAAATTCATACATAATTTAACACAATGTAATTAAAGGTTTTGCATTCACCACGTAAAACACAACTGCATTTCTTGAACATAACGAATTCTTTTTTTCTGCAAGAATATAATTGGCTTGAACCAATAATATTATTTGTAACATTAATGTTATAAACGTAATTATTATGATATAAATGTAATTATTATTTTTATCTTTTGTTTTATTTTATTACTTACTTAATGAACATATTTGGTTAATACTATAAGCTTGACTATCTAAATTGGTATATAAGGGTTTGTTTAGCACTTAATTTTTTCACTGAAAGATACTAATATTCGGTCAACAGTTTTACAAGCCACAAAGCTACATCCTTGTGAATCCATAAGTATTGAATAAAATATGCAATACATAATGGTAAAGATCAATTTGAATATAATAAATAAATAAAAAATAAAGCATGTGACAAGAAAAGAATTATCACTATAAAATCAATGTAAATGGGTGTCATACAATTTTTCAGAATTTAAATCCAACAAAAAATATTATTGAAAGTTCAGAGTCTTGTTTTCCCTTGGTGTCACCCAAAATATTTATGTAATTATTATTATCGTCATTAATAAAATACGTCAGTACTATATTATTATTATTTCTATTAAATAAATTACATGATTATTATCAGTAATTTATTATATTGCGTAGGTCTCATGACCTACTCATGACCTGTATTACAAATCGATAAATTCCAAATTGTATACGGGTATATAGAAGAGCCAACCAGAATGCAGGATATGGTGTAATGTAAACTAATCGTTTTCTTTAAAATATCAATTATGAAACTCTTTAAGTTCTAACAAAAAAATTTCTCATTAAATTTTAGCGTAAATCATCACCCTACCCTATCTTAAACTTACTTTATTCTAAGTTTAAGTGAGAGGCAAATTAGTACCTGTGTGCAATATACTATGTGTAAACTAAATTTTCTTTATTAATTAATAAGTCTTTAAATAAGAGTTAAAATATATTTATATATTTTAAAAATCACATAAACATGCTCATAAATAGTTTAAGATCTTACAATTAATGAAATTAATTAAAAATATTGCATAATCTTTTATATAACTTAACAAGAATTAGCGGTGGCAGCTTTCTTACTCTCTTTACTTAATTTTGTACCTTTAGCTGTAGTATATTTCAAATAAATAATTGAAAATAAAGCTAAGCACCCCACCAAAATATAGCTAAAAATATTACCAATAATAACTGCTTGATCAAATGAAGCACAGTATAACCTCGATATAACGAAGCTCTGGAGCCGAAGGTTTTGCTTCGTTATATCAAAACTTATTAGTAGTTTCGTTATATCAGGGCTAATTTAAACATAAAAATTAGAAAT